ATTTAAAAGCATTCAAGACATGGCAACAATTGTAATCAATTCATATTATTTTCGATCAAATTATTTTATTGGATCTTTAGACATGATCTTTTCACAGGGTTTAGAAGTTTAACAATTGAGAGTCCAATTCTGGTGTTACATTTTAAGTCCGAGCACTAAGCAGTCTAAATATAACCATCTCAGACTCCTCTTTCAACTTCAATAAAGATTGTACTAGAATTTTCGAGACCTTTCAAAGCTATTTTAGAATTTTGTTACACAATTCTAATCCCAAACGTGATGCAGTTATTCTTCTTCTTCTTTGATTTCTTGCTCTTTATTTGCCATTGAAATTCATAACCATACCTCATTAATCCTTTTCCAACTTTAGAGATCCTATTTTACAATTCCTGATTGTAACCTTTTTAAATCATTCAACCATATCAGTTAAAAGGTTACTCTTTACAACTCCTTACAAACTTTGTTTCATTCGCCAAACCAAGTTCAACCAGCCCTGATCAACCTTATCATGTTACCTTAATTTTTAGGCATTAATTTGACATCCAAACACTATGATTAACTGCTGTCCAGAATTGCTAGCAACCTAACTTTTGAAACTTCTTGTTGTTGACTTTAAAAGATAATCAAATCAAGAGTAAAGTATAAGAAGAGGAAGAAAAAGAGAATAAAGGGGATGAGAGAAAAAGAGAGAGAGATGGGGAAAGAGAGAAAGAATGAAAGAATACTTTCATCCTTCCACCACATTCTATTTATACCAACAAGTTTCAGAAATTACACATAAGCACCCAACATTATAGAAGTAATAACAGATAAGCCCTGACAACAGTTGTCACCTTTAAAAGCAAAGGAACTCCAACATTTTGATCCACAAACCCCAAAATCATTCTTTTAACTTTTCAAAACCTAAACCTACATTTTTATTACTTATCAAAAAATAAATAAAACAATAAACCTATCACAACAATCTTCATGGTGATGCTAATCTTGATTAACAGACATCACTATATATATTACAGTTAGTTCAAAGTTGATTATGTCAATAGTGCATGTGCTTCTCCACATAGTATTCTTTTGACTTTATAAGAAACCAGAAAATTTTATTGATACACAAAAAAGAAATACAAACAATGAAAGATCCTTTTAGGAAAGAAAATTAAAAAATTAAAAAAGCCTCCAATACTACATACAAACTACTCCTGTTGACTTAATACCTTCTATTTCACAAAGTATTGAATCATTATTTAATGTTCAGAAAAGTATTGAGTCAAGTCAGTACTGCGTAAAATTCTCTTTAAACTTGAACTTCACAGAAACTTCACAGTCAAAAAGGCACATAGAGCACCTTGATTTATTTAATTATGCCTGACGTTAAGTGCTTACAAAAAAAAAAAAAAAAAAATTCAAGAAAAATACCAGCATTGGTGAAGTAAAAGTCAATGATGTTAATCAAATGGCAAAAACAAGAAGTTTATGATTATACCAGGGTGTACAAATCCATTTTTGATTCTAAACTTATCCTTCTGAATTACCCAATCACCTGCAAACCCAATACCAATAACATGCTATTCTTAATTAACTTCTTAAAGAACATGTCACTTTTGAACTGTACTTTCACCTCCAGTTCTCCTATTCAAGCCAAAAGCTATAATAGCATATACAAGTAACAAATGCATGAGTTGAAACTCATCAAAATGAGAAAGCACATATATAGTGTAACTGAAAAAATAAAAAAAATGGAATCGATCTCAATTGAAATCTAGAGATATAACACTAGCAACTTCCTTTCAGCTGAACAAGATATAAAAAAATAAAAAAAATAAAAAATAAAAAACAAACAAACAAACCATGCAGATAATATGCTTCCTCTTCCTTTTCCTTTTCCTTTTCCTTTTCCTCTCTCCCCCTTTTTCCCTAAAGGAAACAAACTTAACTTACCAGCTAAGGAAGAGTATTCCTTCCAAAGTATCAAACTCAAAGGGGAAAAGACAAAATCAAGCAACACGAAACACAAGGACTATATGCTCCATTACCACTTCAAAAAGATATAAATAAAATATCACATACCTAAAGCACCTTTAACCACATAGCAATTAGTTGGGAAGTAAATAAGTTCTCTGGTTTGTAATAATCTTTGTCATAGTTTATTCAATCATCCATCAAGTAATTCTAATATCTAGCAGACATATGATGTAAAAAATTCACTTCCTTGTTATTCACCATAATCACCATTATATAGTAGAGCTGGTTTTGTTGTTTCTAGTACAAGCTTTTCTCCGTGTTTGTTTGTGCTGAGATGCATCATCCAAATTTCAAGTCCAAATCAAATCAATCCAATTGCCAACCATCTATGTTAATACTGCAGATATCCTCCTTGGATCTTCCCCACCAAAGGAACATACCAAAAACAACAAGATTAATATATCTCTTGATCTTCAACCTCAAGTGGTTGCTTATACATTTATATCATATCTCATCTTACAATACGTAATTTCATAGCTTGAATAAGAAGAAATATATCTTTTTAGAGTTGGGAGATGGATGATGTGTTTGGTTTTTTAGAATTGTAGCTAGGTGATCCGGGGAGGAGGTAGGGATTCTCTTGTTTGGATTTCTTCTGCTGGGGGAATGTTTAGTGTGAGATCTTTTTTCAAATGCCTTGTGCACTCGGATGGGGTGGTATTCTCGTGGAAGGCTGTGTAGCACACTAAGGCGCCATTGAAAGTGGCCTTTTTTGCTTGGACGGTTGTGTGGGGTAAAACTTTGACGCTGGATAATTTGAGAAGGAGAAAGCTTATCACAGTGAATTGGTGTTACATATGTGAGTGCAATGGCGAGTTGGTTGATCATCTTCTCTTGCATTGTCCAGTGGCGGTTGATTGTTGGAACCTCTTGCTAGGTTTATTTGGAATTTGTTGGGTCATGCCTAGATCTACGAGAGGCCTAATGGACACCTGGAGAGGGGGTTGGGTGGGAGCACAGGCTCAAGGGTTCTGGAGGATGGCACCATTGTGTCTTTGGTGGTGTTTGTGGAGGGAGCGGAATAGAAGATCCTTTGAAGGATAGGAATCTTCCATCACTATTCTGAAATCTTCTATTATTAGCTCTCTTTGTTTTGGGGGTTCGGGTAGACTCTGCTCTTCTGCTGAGGAGACTGTTGAGTTTTTGGCTTCCGTGGGGCCTTAGGGTACCCAGGTTTTTGTGGTTTTGTTAGGAACGTGTTCCCCTTTTGAACGCTTTTTTAATGAATTGCTTACTTATCAGGAAAAAAAAAAAAAAAAAAAAGATCTGAAAGCATTATAGATCAACATTTATCCTCTCTCACATGCTGAGTCCCACACCATTCACGAGGAACCTAAATCTGGTCTTCATGGATCAGAAGGACCCCATCAACATAGTAATGCCATTTGATTACACAGTTATGCACTAGATTGGGAAACAAATAAAAAAGAGCACTATGAAAAATCTAATATGAAACCAACTGTAACTAAGTTTGCCTTGGATAAATTGTATTTGGGTACAAAATGAAATATATTGAAATCATTCCCTATGTTATAACTTATAACATAATCCAAAAGGCAGCCTTTCCAAAATTCCAGAACCTTGCACAGCTAAACAGCTTACTGTGTTAATATGCAACCCGGGTATAACAATCTAATTTGAATTCATTGTCCATCTTAATTTAAAAATAAAATAAATAAATAAATAAAGAAGAGAAGCCAGCTACCCACCCAAAATGCAGAACTCTAATTTCTTGTCTTATTATTTGTTTTTATCACACAATTTTCAAATTTAATGGAGTTAAAAACTTGACCTTGGACAACCACTATGTTATCCTCTCAACCCATGCTACAAAAAATAATAGATATTGTCATCAAAATGTTAGGTATACTTCTGCAATCTGAAGTCGTTTAACTTCCTTAGCAAAACAAATCAATAATAATTCAAATTGGTATATAATTCATTCTAGAGCCTCAATTCTCTAAGCCAATACCAGAACTCTTTTCATTACTGTCAGTCTCCTATTTATATAAAAATACATTTTCATAATACTGGCATTAACTTCATGCTTTTATGCATGAATTTGGTACTTTTGGTCCCAATACTCCGCAAGCACTAGTCAAACATATCCTGCAGTCTGGTAAAACACTATCATACACAAATATAACACTGTAAAATCAATAGAAGCTTCTAAAAATAAAATAAAACAAAAGAAAGAAAGAAAGAAGAAAGAAGGTGAAAGACAAGTTCCAGTAATCATAAAAATAGCATAAACACATCCTCATACTAGGGATCAACAGTAACTTGAACACATCACCATGCTTGTGCACTCCCCACTTGAGCCCTTCCTTGGCTTTGCCAAGCACTAAAATATTCGCTTGTGGTTGGTAATGGGCTTTCTAATGAAATCTTAGTTATCAAAAAAAAAAATTATATGAATGAGGAGTCAGCCACATGAATTCTCAGTCTCCATTCTTTTCTATTACCCACCATATCACTTACTATGTTTAACTTTTTTAAGTCATTTCTAATAACTTCATCCCACGTTGTTTTTGGTTGCCCTCTCCATTTCTTACCTTCTATGAAAATTAAACTTCCTCTTCTTACCGGCACATCCATAGGTCTTTGGTGTACGTACTCAAACCATCTAAGTCTACTCTCTTATTTTCTTGTTGATGGATGCCACACCTAATCTTTCTCTCACACTTTCATTCCTGACCCTATCTCTTCTAGTCACTCGACCATCTTATCATTCTCACTTTTGCTACATCAAGGCATTGTTCTTGTTTCACATAGGCCACATTAGCAAGGAGCAAAATTCATAAACCAAGTTATCAAGGTCATGGTTTAAGTATGTTTTCGATGATTCAATCAGGAATGGCTGCTTTCAGAAAATAGCCCAACCTTGGGAAAAAATCCAAAAATTTTGTATTGTGATACAATATATGAAATAAATCAAAATAGAGAACAAAGGAAAGGAGGAACGAGGGGTAGGAATTTACCCGAGCAAATCATTCACTTTCCCACAAGATACACAATAAAAGGTCCCCTCAAGTCCTGCACGCCACCCATCCTTCGCAATGCCTGATCTTTCATGCCTTAAAGCACATTCAAGATGACATGACATGCCACATGTATCCCCTTGATAGGGAGGGTCTGAGCTGCAAGTCAACCACAAGCTAGGGTCCTTGTTATCATCATACTGACAACAGATGCAGCATGAACACCTCTTGCAAAATGCATGTTCTCGACTTAATTTAGCTCTACACACCAAATTTTTGCAGTACACAGGATTACCTAAATCACTATCAACATTGTAAACATTGCTTGCCGCAATGGGTAGTCGATTAGGGTGATCAGTTTTCCTGTGTCTTTTGGAGGTCCTTTGGCCAGTTACAGGTAAAGAATGTGGTTCAATGTCTGTTGCAATCTCATGCTCCTGTGATTTCTTTTCCGACACAATTTTCAGAAGGTTCTCTATGATTTTCAACTTTGTCAAACCAGTGTATTTCCTTTCTTTTCCCATCTCAGCACATAGGATTTGCAAAATCTCCTGCCGACTCCATGATTGTAGCATTTCAGGGGCACCATTTGACCACTTCGATAATTCATACACAAGTTCTCTCTTTTCCTCCATACTCAATTTACTACATTTTGATGGATCCAGCACAGCTCCTGAAGCCAAAAAAAAATGATTTTATGGTATTATAGTAGTTCTAAAGGATGAATCTAGCAGATCAAAGGGGCAACATTTCTGCACAATCACTCATAATTTTTAATAAATAAATAAATGAACAAGCCTAAATTAAAGAAAATAAGGATATTGGAGGGATGAGGAAAACAAAAACTAAATCTATTATAAGATGATATTCAACATATACCCCTGAACCAAAAAAATTGGATCCACAGAATCTTTGCCTTTTTCCCTGCTAAGATGAAGTTTTTGACCCCATAATCTCAAAAGCAATTTTAAGAGAAATAACCAGAAAGTTAGTCCTGAACAACCATGACTTTTTAATTGATAAATAATACAGCATTAGGATCCAAACCACAGGCATAAGATATCCAATACAAGCTAGTTCTGAGACCCATTTGACAATTCTAATCTGCATTCTCATTTCATCGTCCTAAATAATTATTGCTTAATTGACTAAATAAAAAATAAAAATAAAAAGAACGAAAGAGAGAAAAGCTATACCGGAAAACATCCAAATAATTGACTAGCAATAAAAAAGACATCCCAACAAAATAAAAAAGAGTTCATGTTCTAGGGATCCCATTACATTGGGCAAATGGAAAAACAAAGAAAGGAACTGGACCCAACTTTTTCTGACTTTGTGATGCCCCTAAAGCTGCACTCTCTTAAGCTCTTGTACAAGTATTTGGTATGGTGACTTGATAACGTCCCATAAAACACCAATCCATCAAATAATATGACCTTACTTTTCACATAAATAGGTACATATTCCACATTACCGTACGATGTTATTATAAGCAGTAAAAAGACATTTCGTAAACACACTGCACTTGTTTTATTATCTTGTTAATTGCAAAAGACAAACTTAAATTTTCCTGACAAAATTTACTCATCTAAACAATTTTTTTAACAATCATAAAATGCAGACTATTACAGAGAGAGTAAGCACAAATTAATTTAGCAAATAAATGAAACCGGAAATTCTAGTGATATTCAAATAATGAAAATCCCAAACAAAAAGATATAAATGCAATATGACTCATATGCAGATGAACTGAAACTTTGTGACCCACCATCAACAAATCCTTCAAAATATTCAACCTTTCTGCACATCAATAGAACAAAAGGTAAAACAATATTCAACGATCAAGCTAACTTTGTCATTAAATTTCATAAAATAACAAAAATAACGAGGAAAATTGAAAATAATAATAATAAAAAAAACAGAGATACACGAAAGGTTACCCTCAAAAGAAGAAGAATCCATATCCGGTTTTCAATAACTAAACCACTGTGTCCATCACATTACCACCAAAACCTCAACCTTTCTGATCCAAAAAATAAATAAATTTTTCAATACAAATAAACAAAACTGAATATTTTATATAGATGTACATAAAAATAAATAACTGAAGCAAAGGGAATACAAATACCAAGAAAAGGGGCTTGAAATTCTGCCACTATAAACGAATCCATGACTAGCTGGGTCCTCCACTGGGCTGTTCAGGACCCGAAGCAGCGAAAGGGGAGATTCGAGGACCCTAGACAGAGAAGAAGATAGAGAAGCTGCGGGGGTGGAAGAAAGGGCAATGTGAAGAGAGAGAAACGAAAGATAGAAAAGTAATACTCCAGTAAATAAGGCTACCAACGGGGGCAAAAGGGTGCTGCATGTTATTTTCTTTTTCACCCTCGACCCCTCACGACGTTTTAATGCGATGTTTTTAAAATAAAATATTACTATTTTTTTATTAAAATTTTATAAATATATATATAATATTAAGTTTAAAACTGAATTTTTAGCAATGATATTTGGATTTTCAGAAGAAGATTCCATTCATTTGATGTAAAATAAAATAAAATTCACATGTGGCTTGAAATGCCATGTATTGTTGTAAATAGAAAGGCCTCGTTCTATATATTTTATTTGAGAAACATGAAGAGGGGTAGTTTAAATAAATAGGAAAGAAAAACTAATAATGAAAAATAAAAATGAATGGGAAATGGTGAGTAGAGGGATAGAATTGTCCTTTACGAAGTAGTGCCCACAAATAACTGCCAGAACGATAAAAGTGGTGTGGACCATTCTTCATAAAGGTTTCTGTACAATAATACTGCTCCCCCCTGCAACACTATCATATGTGATATGTTATGTACTTATATCTTATCGGAGATAAATTGTGGAGTACTCTACTTAATGCCAGTTCTTGTTTCTTATGCAATAACTTATCGCACTTCAATGTTTATTTCCTTTAATCATTTGGGGGCAGCCAATTAAGATTGCTTCAGTGGTTTTCGATCGCATCTCTCCTTCTGTTGGAGGACTTGGGATGTCATTTTGTTGTGGTGGAAGGGACTCTCACCTTCTGTTGAAGGACTGGAGATATCATTTTGTTGTGGTGGAAGGGGACTGTCAGTCTATGCAGCCCCTTCTGTGGAGTCTCTTTTGTAGTTCTTGAGGACATTTCTTTTCTCCTTTTCGTATGCCCAAACTTCTCCCTTGTTTGGGCTCCTAGAAAAGGCAGAATAGTGGCTCATTTGGTGAGGAAAAAGGTTCTTGGTCCTAAGGGTATGTTTGGATAAGTAGGGGAGAAAAGAAAAGAAAGGATAGTATTAGTTAGGAGAGAAAAGAAAAGATAGTAATAATTTTTAGGGAAAATTACATATAAATGGAGTCAAAGTTCCATATTTACTTAGAGGCTGGGTCAAAGTTTCATATTTCTCTAAAATGGATTGCTGAGATGGCACATGGTTTTTTACTGTTTAGAAAATTGTGGTGCCTAAAATGCCCTTCCCTAACAAAAAAGTAGTACCTTCAGTGCAAAAAAGTAGTACCTTCAGTTCAAAAAAGTAGTACCTTCGGAGAAAAAGTAGTACCTTCGTGGGTGTTTAAAAAACATGGTACCTGGACGCCAAAAAGTAGTACCTTCAGTTCAAAAAAGTAGTACCTTCGCGGAAGGGTATTTTAGGCACCACAATTTCTAAACAGTAAAAAACCATATGCCACCTCAGCAATCCATTTTAGAGAAATATGGAATTTTGACTCAACCTCTAAGTAAATATGGAACTTTGACTCCATTTATATGTAATTTTTCCTAATTTTTATTCGTGTTTGGATAGATAGGGGAGAAAAGAAAATAAATGATAATTATTCTTGTTTGGATAAGATAGAGGAGAGAAAAGAAAAGAAATGATAGTGACGAAATTACTGTCCTGTCCTTTCATAACCACTTCATACATTATCCATTTCCAAAATCTTATTTCTTTTTTATAGTTCAATGTCACGGGTAAAATCAAAAGTAAAAAATAAAAATAATAGGTAAAAACAAAATTAGATAAGACTCGTTCAACCTAAGCAACCGGGAAGTAGAAATTATATTGTTTGCCTGAAGCCCACGGAAAAAGTAATACATTAAACGATAAAGTCACAATTATAAAATTTGGTACGGCCATTTTAAAAATTATATTCTATTGACAGGATCATGTACATATCTGTGTACATATTACATAATCTTTTTTCTGTTGGATTCAATTTCCGCCCCTAAAAAAATGCTGATGGGACTTTGTGAGATGATCATCAAAAAAATCTTGTATATTTTTGTGAATTTGTTGCTAGGTCAAACTTCAATCGGCTGAATTACAGTGGCTTCTTAACTGTTATTCTAGAGCGAGTTAGGACATAAATAGAATTACTTTTAAGTATGTTGATTTGTAAAGGGTATTTTTGGTAACCCATAATTTATAACTTACCATCCCTCCCTATCTCTCCCTATCTTCTCAAATTGAGAGAGAAAGCCCACAAGTGATAAGGAGGGATAACTATCCCTCCCTTTCTCTTCCTATCCATCCATATCTCTCCACTTAACATACCCAAACACACTCTTACACTATCCTTTCTTTTCTTTTCTCTCCCTATCCCTCCAAATCAACCCTACCAGACACACCCTAATGGTTGAAGCCGATTGTGCGGATTTCTTTTCTCCTTTTCTAATTGTATCGTTTCTCCTTTGTAATGATATAGTTTTAATGATATAGTTTTTGATGATTCTATGGTCTCAAAACATTATACTGTGTCTTTAATTGTAATCTAACTATAATTTATTTCTATTTTAATAAATTTAGTCATTTTTTTCCATTGCAATTAAATATTATTAAGGTAAAATTACGAAATCTAGACACTCCATTTAAGGAAAGAAAAATAAAAGAATTTAGCTGCTACTCCTTCGTGTGGATTACTCCTTCCAATGGCACTCCATATGCATATTTATTATGATAAAACTTTATTTTTAATCATTCTTACAAAATTTGCTCTTTTGAGGCCGTGTAAAATAAAATAAAAAATAAAAAAGGACTTCTATGGTTGATCAATTTCAGCTTCTAAAAATTCAATGACCCTACATTAGACCACTAATATCAGTATAACCTTGCAAATATATATATATGTATATATATATATATATGTGATGTGTTGTATTTGGTGTTGTGTTAGAATAAAAAAAAGTGTTTTTGTCACACTAAAGTTGTCAAAAAATAAAAATAAAAATTACGATAATTGAAAAATATGTTAGGTGTTTAGTGACATATTTAATTAGTATTTTTTATAATTAAATTATTTTTAATTTTATTTGGTAACAATAATTTTAAAAACACTTGTATTGCTCATTTTACAATAATATCCTTTAATATAATGTTACCAAAATAGCAACATTATATAAGAATGGCTGTCTTTCAAAAAAATAAAAAGGGATAAAATTATCTTTAAAAAATAGTTATCTAAAATATATAACTTCTATTCAGACCTCAGTTCAAAACTTCAAAATTTCAACTTCATTCAAAACTTCAAAATTTCAACTTTATTCGGAAACTACAAAATTTCAACTTCATTCGAAAGTTCTATTACTGAGATTAAATTGGTAATAATTAAAAGCGCTTGTAATGGTTAATAGTTACCAAACACACTTAAACCCAATTTTTTTAAAATAAAAACCTTTTTAAATAATTAAAAAAAACAATCCCAAAATAGCTATTAGACAGTGCAAATTCAAGTACAAACCAAATCATGAATATCAGCTAATATAAAATTGTATAAATTGTAAGAATAATAATAATTATCAAAACAAATGCCACCGTTAAAAGCCCAGGGACTGAGGGAGTTAAGGCTAGGGCACGTGCCCCCTATATTATAAGAGTATTATATTATATATATATATATATATATATTATCTAATGAATTATATATATTTTTCTTGAACAATGCTTGCCTCAAACCGTATAAGAAGGTATGTCATTCTGATTCTGATATGGATCAATTAAAATATGACATGTGCAAAAAAAAAATTTAAATAATTAAGAAAAATTGTTTGGATCTTTTTGCGGATCATCTAAAAGAAAGATTTTTTTTTCCCTCACACGACTGAGATTTTCTATTGTAAATCCTTCATATTGCAATCCGTTATAGAAGAAGCTAAGCAATTAGCCCAAACATGGTAAATTAACCACAATTGTAAGACTCCAATAATCAATGAACTTTAAGGAAATCAATTTGATTATAATCGGTGGTGATAAATCTCAAAATTTTGAATGCCACTAAAGTTATGCGTATTCATTCTGGAGATGGGGTTGCAACAAAAATGGCAAGCAACGAATGTGGCAGTTTGAATCATCTCTAAATATATTGGATGTTAAAGATTAAAGTTTGGGAATGGAGGAGGTGGCAAGCAGTGGAGGTCGGTTGGCGAAAGAGAGGATTAATATTAGGGTTTCATAATTGGGGAGATGGTTGCCCATGGACATCAATGGGGATTTGGTGGGAAGAAATAAGGAATAGTGAGTTAAAGAGAGAAAGAGCCCGCTACCAAGTCTCACACACGTGTAAGAGAAAATCCTCTTCCAAAATCCTTTTTGGATGACCCGTGAAAAGATCAAAATGATTCAAGATTAATTTTTAATTTTTTTGACACACGTTATGTTGTTATTGATCCATATCAATATTAGAAGAAGAGCCCTACTTATGCAGACTAAGGCAAGATTTTTCCTTTTTTAAAAAAAAAAAAAAAAAAAAAGTGTAAAATGTTTTCTTGAACTTTCTCACTCCTTTATATTCTATTATGTTTCCTTATATTTTTTTCCTAAATTGTTCCCTTATATTCTATACATGTAATTTATTAATTTAACTTATTTAAAAAATGTTAATCTATATATATATTATATATTATATATCCGCTTGATTTATTTACTCTAACATTATTCTATATATATATATATATATATATATATATATGCAAAAGTTCACTAACCTGCATTTTCTGGCTCCCAGATGGTCAAAATTACCAAAATACCTCCACTTATTAATTTATATAAAAGTTATAAATATCATAAATGTACAATACTCATAACACCCTTAAGGAGCTATCTTGCAACTAACCAATAGTTCGGGTGTTTTTAAAAAAAAAATTTGCCTAATAATAATAAATAATATCAATAATAATAATGATGATAACAACTAATAATATTAGTAGTAATAATACTAATACTACTAATAATAATAATAATACTAATAATTGATGGGAAAAAATAACCCTAAGTTGACCGGCCGCCTTAACTATTTGGTTCTCTTCAACTACCTGG